TATATATATATATATATATATATATATATATATATATATATATATAAATTGCTAATAAAAACTTGATACGTTACAATTTGTACAAAGACATCATCCATATAATTAATATAAGAAAATCATGCGTTTATGTTCACAAAATATTGCGTTATGTCGAGATATAAAAATATTACGCTATTTCTAGTTCAATAATAGACAATTAAATTTTTTTCAGATTCATAGAACATAATAAAGCTTTATGCACCAACTGAACTGCACATGTTTTATTAAATTAATTTATAAAATTTCTGTAATACCGCCTCTTCCAGCTAAAATAAATACAGTGATCTTAAAATAAGAGAATTTGGAACAATATTAAAGATAGGAAAGAAGAATGACAGAAAGAGAATAAAGAAATAGAGAGATACATCGCGCTCCTGTCGGAAGTTGATTTGGAACGTTTAACATTAATGGGAATTCATTTAACGGTATAATTTTACAAAGTTACGTCATTGAATTCTTCGATGCTAAAGAACCCCGGACAGGGTTACCTATATTTTTTCTTGTATAAAGGGATGTGCCAGAGCGTGATTCACAGTGATCCTCTTCCCAGCGTCTAGCATCAGCGTACGTTCCAGTAAATCTTTCAACTGTCCAACTTTGCGACTTTGTTCCGGCGGTAACGAGCTTCCGCCAAGTTCCGCGCTGAGATCACGCGTCGCTGGCAGTGTCGACATTACGACGATTTTTTCCTAGAAATTACACATCGTCCCAGACTTTGATTACTTTATTGTTATCAAATAACTCGGAAGCATTAGCAAAAAACATATACCGTACTATAAAAAAAATTTATATTGAAATATTGAAAATTCTTTGTTTTTTTTTTTATTGCACGTGCAAATTCATCGAGTGTTACGACGCGTAAGAAGCAGCGTTACTTACCGCGCGTTTGCGCGGGCGCGGTGTGCCACGAGATCATGTGTGTGGGACAAGAAATTGATCACGGAATAAAATTGTCAAGTATCGACTTACCCGTTCCGTGACTTTATCAACCTCGTGATACAGGAAATTGCAGTTACTGTCAAAATGTTGATCCTTGAACGTGCCCTTCCTGATCAGCTTGTTCGGCATCTTGCCCTTTAGGTCCATAAAATACTTCAACATTTGGTTGTTCGTTTTCCCGGAAAACATTATTTTTCCAGTATACAATTCATATATGGTGCAACCCACAGACCACATGTCAATGCCAAAATCATACGGTATACCAAGAACTAGAAAATAACAACGTTACTTTTGGCCCGAGACACTTCAATCGCGAGTTTCTATCTTTTTTTTTTCTTTTTTTTTTAACGCTGAGTATTTCTGAGCTGATTTACAACACGCTGCAATCTGTTTTAGAAAATAATCAAAGCTAAAAACCTCGTGCTGCGTGAGGTTCTTAAAAAACGCCTGTCAGATATAAGTAATGTTACACATTTTTTGATGTTCGCATTTATCGAAGACACGTCGACGGACACACGCGACGTACATAAAATATAAAACAAGCCTTAAATAAATAATACATCAGACTGTAATAGAGAGGATTCATGTTGCAGGATATGTAAGACTAACTGGAACAAGTAATAAAGAAAAGATAACTTACTTATTTCGGGTGCACGATAGAATCTTGATACCAAGTACGGTGTGATTTCATTTTCGTGAGCGTGCGATGCAGAACCGAAATCACAGAGTTTCAGCACTAGCTTGCTTTCACTGACTAGAATATTATCCGGTTTGATGTCAGCATGAAGAATATTTGCACGTTTTAATAACTTTAGTGCTAGAAAAAGTTGCTGCGTATACGACCTTACCGCTTTTACGTGTAAACCAACGTCTTTGCCATACTTTTTTAAAACCTGCAAATGTTTTCAACAAAAACACGGTTATTAGAACAACTTCTCTTCTCGGAATGATCTTGGTTAACGTACAATATTTTGTGTACGTACATACCTCTCTTAAATTCATGGCTAAAGGCTCAAAGACCATACATAAATGATTCTTGTGAAAAAAATGTCTGAATAAACGTAAACAGTGAAACCGATCTTCTGGATCAGCATCGTTCAGCTTCCTAAGAATTTCTAATTCTTTTAGACCGGTTCTGTGCCTGTAAGATTAAATTACGCAATTATACATTACGATCAATCAGAAATTGAAAATATTGCACTCATTACATTATTTCATTGTTTCTTATGATCTTCACAGCTACATCTAGATTGCCTCTGGCGCTGTCTCTCGCCCTCACGACGTTGCTAAATACACCTTGGCCTGTATATCCGTAGACTACATACCGCGAATCTAACGTTTCACCGACTCGTACACTGTAAAATGAGTTTTATTTATTTTATCATCAGGTTTTATCCGACACCACACGTGTGAAATATAGAAGCGATATTTACGACTTACCGATAGTAACCTTCAGCGTCATCCCAATTATCCGTCAAACTCGGATTATCCGGTCCTCCTTGACGTTTTCCTTCGAGCGTAGGACTCTGGATGATAAAAAAAAAAAAAGATAAAACCAATGACCAGATAAGAAGTTAGACAAAAGAGTTTAAATAAAAAAAAAAAAGACAAACGTACATTAAAATCTCCAATGTTATCTGCCTCCGCGAACATGTCCCATTCATTCGATTTTTTGATTTGTTTTTCTTCTTGTTTACACCTTTCTATTATTATCTTTTTATCGGACTCGTTCGGTGGCGCATCTTCGAATCTCGACTTTCTTTTCTTCACTGGCGGCGGAGAATCCAGTTTTTCTGTGGGCAGTGGCGGCGTGTGGCTCTCCATCGTAGACTCATTGTTATTAGATGAAACTTCTATAGATTTTTGTGATACATTGGATTGACTTTCCGGAGATTCGACGACATGTATGTCAGTTGACATATTAGAATCCTCATTTGGTCCACTTAATCTCTGCAAAAAAACCAACATGCACTTATCACAATTGTTGAGACATTCAATAACATACGATATAAAATTTATCTCGTGTAAACGATGTGAATATTTACTTTGAGCAACTCTTCTCTCTGTTTTCGTCGACGTTCTATGATTGCTTCCTCGTCTTCCTCTTCCTCGATATCGATATCCTTGATTTCTTCTTCGCTTGAACTCTCCGAATGTTCTACTTTAAGACCTTCCGATAAAGAATCCTTATATTTGTCGTTACGTTCTCTTTTGCTGTTTCTTTCTCTGTCGCGATCTCTTCCTTGATGTCTGTCCCGATCTCTACGACTTCGGGATAGCGATCTCGATCTCTTGTAACGATCATTTCGTTCTTTTTCTGATCTAATCCGAGTAGGACTGCGAGATCTTCTCACGTTGCTGCGAGATCGATCTCTAACCCGATGATCGTGATACCGATTATCACGTCGATCGTGACTGCTATGCCGATCGCGATTTCCATGTCGATCTCGACTCCTGCTGTCTCTCTTGTCACGGCTCGTATGATGAGGCTCCTTGCTAGACCGGTCGCGACTACGCCGATCGTGGCTGTCAGTACGTAGTACGTGTCGATCTCGACTGTCTTGGCGCTCGCGACTTCCTAACCTATCGCGACTCTTACTGTCTGAACTTTTCATCTCGGTACTACGAGTTTTTGAACTATGATGAGTTGCGGATTCTCGCCTTCGACTTTCTTCCCTATGTACGTCAATTAGTAATAACTACATTTTTTTTTAAATTGTATTACAAAAATTAAAAATCACTAGTTTCACTACTTACCGTCTGTCAGAGTCTCTTTTCCGTATTTCTTCCTTTTTTGCAGAATCCTTACGTCTCAGATCTTCTTCCGTTTTCCTATTGGATTCATCCTTTCTCATATCTTCCTTATGCCTCTCGCCGATCTTTCTAGATCTGTCGTCCTTTCTTCGTTCCTCTTCTCTCTTCTCTTCCTCCCTAGGCCGAGCCTTATCATCCTTTTTCCTATCAAAATCTCTTCTCTTATCTTTATGTTGTTCGCGAGATTTTCTGTCCCTACTCATATCAACTACAACACGTCTTTCTGTCTTTATCACTTTCTTACGTTCTTTGCTGCTAGATTTGCTTCTAGCACGTTTCTTAAGTGACGCTTCGTTTGTGTCGCTATCGTCTTCCACTAATATCACATCGGGCGTTTCGACTGTTGGTTTTGTTTCTTCCTCTTCCTCTTCCTGTATTTCTTTGTCATCTATCTTTTCATCGTCATCCGACAGATATTGTACTAAACAGGCTTGCAATCGTTCCTAAATACACAAACATACAACAACTTATTTCTAAAATCTTGAGAAAATATAAAATATTAAATAAATTTACCTTTTGTTTCATTAACTCTTCGAGATCAATATCATCTTCTATGATTGTACATTCTAATTCATCTGAATCAAGATCAACTAGCTTCTCATCCTCACTTTCCTCCGTAGAAGCAACTTCCAAAACTCCACTTTTTACTTTTCCATTCATACCGACTTCTTTGTGTACCACAGTAGCAATTAATTTCTCATCTATACTACCATTCTCCAAATCTTTCTCTCTTTTCTGTCTTTTGTGTTTTTTGTGTTTTCGTCTAGAAAAAAAAAAAGAAACAACATTACCTTCGCTCCGGTTAACACATATACAGAGTATTTGTTGTATGGTCATACTTTTCTTGTCTGTCCAATCGATCATCTTCCCTCTCAATTAATTTCTCTTTCTTGTGTTTGTGATGCTTATGTTTTCTCTTTTTCTTCTTTCTCAGATCGGTCATTCCATCTGTATCAGAATCTAATCCTAAAGATTCTCTCTTGTATTCAAGATCTTCCAGATCTGACGTACTGGAATAAAAACAGATATATACACAAATTAACATTCCGGTGAAACTATTTTTTTTTCTCGCTAGGAAAGAAACGTCGAAGTTTTTTATTCAACAAAAATGAATTCAGGAACCATAGACTCATTCCCTGTTTTGTTCATTGTCACACTAATTGCACGGAGTTCCGTGTTAATGCGTTTACTTACCCCATGATAAACTTTGCGGTAAATAATTATCGGTAACACAAAATTATTGTACACAGGTATATTCTCACAGACCACACGACGACTACAGTGAACGTAAATCACGATGATTGTAAGAATACACGGATATACTTCAATAATACGCCATTTTGCAAGTTCTATCGCTTCTCCAGAGGCATGTGTGTTGTGTATCGAGTTGACGTTCGACGATTATCGATTCGGGGTCGAATCGTTCGTTCGATCAGAGAGAAGCCTGAGAGCGGCCAGGTTCATAAAAGAATGTGTAATCACTTTTCCGCCCAGTAAACTAGCGCATGTCCACGAGTGGTACACATTGGAACTACGTAGCCAGTCCACGAGCGACATGTCGGTGCGCTATGTCCACAGCGTGCGGTTCTATTCTGTACTATGTGCACGTGTTTAAATGGTCACTTTAAAAAAAGAGACTGATTGTGAGAATGGTTACTAACGTTGCAATGTATATGTTATATACGTAAGATTTTATCGAATTGAAATAATTAAAGGCTGAATTGTTACGTGCACATATTTTTTAAGTGCATGTTTAAAGTGTATCGACAGCCAAGAAAAAATTCCCGGTAGTAACACAAATACGTAATTTTGTTTGTGTTATATATTTTGCAGGTGATAAAATGTATAACTTTTCTATCTATAATTTGCTTTAAGTTTATAATTAGAATAATTTGTAAAAGGTATTTGTTTTGGTTTTTATATATTAAGTTGTGTGTCATTTGTGTTATATTTGAAGTTATACTTGCAAAAGTTTAATCATTAATGGTAACATTTTATAGACACAAGGATATTTAGTAAAAATAAAATAAATATATATGTAATATATATTTATCAAAAAGATATATAAAGTTTATGTATTTGTATATAAACTTCTGTTATAAATTCATACAGTATGTGTGCCCGGGACTCTCAAACAAATTAAAATAATGGAAACATTTTCAATATTATGTAATAATAACAGAATAATAAACCTTTTGGTGCTGGAAAACACATTGCAAACTCAATCTAATTTATTGTTCCTTTTTCTATTGTTTCTCAATATACAAACTATGATAATTACTTATAAATTTTATTGTGACGCATGTATAATTTATAAGTCATATCGCATATACATATAATTACGCATATATAATTTATAAATTTATATGCATCAAAATTGATTACTTACATTATTATCATAACTGTTTATTTTTACATGTACGTTGTATGTACATACATCTATTAATCCTTAATAATAAATAGTATGTTTTATATACATACGTATATTTATAATAAATTTACAAATTATTGTTTAAAGATTGACAAATTATTGAAAAAATGTAAGAGAATTAAGCAAGAGAGAGAGAAATAGCAAGAGAATTGAGCGAGTAACGTGAGTTGCGCGTCCTCTGAAAGCCTCGAAAAATCGCTGAAAGTATCAGGAACACATGTTGTGCGAAGAGGTAATGCGAGAGGTATCTGTGGGCGAGGCTACGCGTCCCCCCAACACCTCCTGCGCGCCGCGAGTCGCGCGGTGATTGGCTGAGGCGCGAGCGCTCCATAATGGCCGACGCGCGTAATCCATAATGGCTGCCGCGCGCGGGGTGGGGTCAAGCGCGCTATATACACGCCCAGGAGCTGGCGCGTATACCTACTCGCAAGACATACTTCCCTGATACCTTCGCTCGATTTCAGCTCGTTTTCAGCTCGTTTTCAGCGTTTACATAGCTTCCAACGACCAAGACTATTGCGCGTAAATCTTGTGCTCTTGTTCGCTTGATTATTTATTAGCGTGTAAAATAAAATAAAGAGAGAAAGGCAGGTAATAAATAAATAAATAAAGAAAGAAAGAAAGAAAGAAAGAAAGAAATAAATAAATATACAAATAACGGACGAAATATTATGCAAGTCTTTTATTTTCAATACTTATCGAATATTGTGTCGAATTTTGTGTAGATTTTTAATTAATAATCGACGTAATGACTTATTAAATCTAAAGGATTCAGAGAACAGTTTTCGTAACGTTGATCGCAAAGTTGCTCGTGCTCAGCTTGCGTGATCTCATTCGGAAGCTCCTCGCTTCTCGACGTAAAAGGTCTGCAATGCAAATTTAATTGTTTTACATTATTTGTTCGTTGATTGTAATTTATATCGACATCTCTCTTTATTTCTCTTTACATCAAAACTTTCAAATATACTTTTTATTACAATACTTATGTGAATATGATTTTGAGAATATCACCAAGCACATCATTTTCGCTTAAAGCATATTTTGCAGCTTGACAAATTACTTTCAACAAACAATCTTGTCCAGGATAGCCCAGACTGTTGTAAAACACACAAATGTCATTATTTACGAGCGTATATTTTGAGCTTAACAATCACACGTGTAATTAGAAGTGAGGTTTCGAAATACATACGTGTTGGTAGAGAATATATCTGCGTGTGTGTGGTTTTAATCACAGTTTTGTTACTTTTCCAGTTTGTTTCTTTTTTTGAAATTTAAAATGACCGATCTCGCGATGAGAAGATGAGAAAGGAAAACAGAAAAGGATAAGAAAAACCATTGCAACTTTTTGTACAACATAAATGTGATATATCAGAAAAGATGTGATAGTCAAGAAAAGAATCTTATTTTAGCGAGCAACATCAGAATTCGTGGAGTGTAGTCAAATATCATCTCCTTTTACATCATCATTTGCTGCTCTGTGGTTTATAAATTTTATTTTATTTTCTTAAAAACACTACATATACATATATATACAAAATACACCAAAAAACCATATATATTATACAAAGATGTTTTAACGGTATACAAATATAATGTCCGAAAAGTTGCAATTCCAAGAAATATAGCTTTTGCGTTTTTATTTAAAACTTTTTATCAGTGTGTTTTCTATTTCCAAGTTTCATTTTACAATGTTTTTTATACATTACAATAGAATACAATTCTATTACACATTTATTACATATAACATACAATATAATACAATATAATACAATATTATACAATATAATATAAATAGTTATATATATAATCCTACCTACCTACCTACCTATCTTAGACATCTGACATATCTTAAACGTTACTAGCGTTATTAATTAGGATTAAGGCTG